TCCCTGGTAGGGAATCAAACTCCTGCTGCAGTGGCTGCCCAGAGCTCCATAGTGCTGAGACTTATCCCTCGCACCACCAGGGAGGGCCCTCATTTTCAAGAAAACTTTCCTACAATTCAAACAATTTCAAACACATATTAAAAGAAGATAGAAGATACCTAAAAATATTAATCTCGAATGAGCAACCTGTTCTAATAAGGTTGTTAGTCCCGAGGAAGTCACTGACCAGACAAAAAGGGCATGTGACTCACAGGAGACCAGTTAGACACGTCAGCAATTGCCAGCAACGCTTGATGCAAGAACATGCAGATGACATATTTTTATTTTTCATTGCAGTAGCAGTGGTTTACAACACTGTGTGTAATTTAGAGGTATAGATTCTTCAGATGTTTGTTACCACGCCACTCCCACCACAACACTGGCATTTTAAATATTCAAGAGAAAAACAGGTTAACACTTAGCACTATGAAGCCGCTGGCGGCCGGGCAGCAGGAGCGAGATCCTGGCCGGCCAGGGAGTGAGCACAGGGAGGGACCCCCAGGGCGCAGCAGACCTCTCCTGTCTCCCCCTGTTCCCCTTGGCTGTGTGCTTCAGTAGATCTGCCTGTTCTGCTCCCCGTTCTCTCTGGTGAATCCTCTCTCCCCCACACCTTTGGCCTGTCCCCCAGTTCTTGTGTACATAAATAAGCCCTAAAAAAAACATGTGAGCTCAAGCTAACTTTTAGCTATAACAGACACAAATTACTGTCAACGCGCAGCAATTCAGGGAACGTGAGCTCACGAGCTCTTCCTCAGAAGCCGGCTGGAGAAGGCTCTGCAGAGCAGCAGCTTGCAGAGAGGCAGCAATGCAGGGGGCATGCAGGTGACTTAAGAGCCAAGAGCAGGCCAGAGAGCGCTAGCACGGAACGGCCAGATGATCACAGTGTAAATATTATAACCCTAGAAAATGGGGCAGAGGCCCTCCCTGGTGGCACAGCAGGTTGTGTGGGTTCAGTTCCCCGCCCCAGAGGGGACCCCCAGGGCGCAGCAGACCTCTCCTGACCGCCTGCTGCTCCCCTCAGCAGTGCACTTTGTCACTCTTCCTGTTGTGCTCCCCACTCTGTCTCTGGCCTGTACCCCAGTTCTGCCTGTATAAATAAATAAATCTTTAAAAAACATGGGAGAGTGAGGGTAGCATTTGCAAAAAAAAAAAAAAAAAAAGACTGTTTTCAGTACCCCTGGTGGGCGGAAGTGGTATTACTAGGTATTCTGAGGCTGTTTAATGTATAATAAGGGATAAGGCAAATGATCAAGATATTCCAATTCTCTCGGTTCTTCATTTCTATCTCCTTCAGAGTTTAGGAAAAGAAGAAAAAGAGAAGCACCTGCATAGTGACAGGTGGGCAGGAGAGCTCAAGAATCATGATTTTTAAGAAAGATTTATGTATTTATGCACACAGAACTGGGGTCCCGGCCAGTTCTGAGGGGGTGAGCGGATTCACCAGCAACAACGTGGGGAGCAGAACAGGTGGATCTACTGAACTCCACTGCTGAGGGGAGCGGCGGGCGGGTCAGGAGAGGTCTCTCCTGGGCCCTTTGCCTCACTCCCTGGCCTGATGGAAGGGCTGCAGTGGCTGCAGTAGGTTCACAGTGCTGCGCTTTAACCCCTGAGCCTCCAGGGAGGGCCTCACCAATTTTTTTTTTATGTAGAAAAACTGGTGTGTACACCAGGGGTACAGGGGTGTGAGAGGATTCCCCAGAGACGGAGTTGGGGGGCAGAACAGACAGATCCACTGAAGCACACTGCTGAGGGGAGCAGCGGGGAGACAGGAGAGGTCTGCTGGGCCCTGGGGGTCCGCAACCTGGCCAGTTGTTGAACTCTTGCTGCAGTGGCTACTGCTAGCTTCGTAGTGATGGGCTTCAACCTTGTGCTGCAAGGGAGGGCCCCCTTGCCCTCTTTTGGACCCCCTCCCCCCTCCCCTGCTGTACACTATTTTACAAGCTTCCCCTGGGAATCTTAGAAATGTTTCAGGGGCTTTCTTGGGGAAGGAGGGGATGAGGGAAAAGATGTCTACAGAAATATATTAATCCTGCTTCTGCAAAAGTTCAAGTTTACTAAGTTATGTATTAACTTGAAAAGATTCTCTTGAAAGATGAAAACCATAGTTTTATTGCACTTCGCAATTTGATAAGATTTGTAAGGCTAAGTGGAAAATAAATAAATGTCCTATCTAGTGATAGAAAATCAACAGATGCAGTGAAAGAGCTTTAAGCCTTCAGCTTCAGGGGAAGTTTTAGGCCAGTAAGTTGTGTTTAATGTGAAGGGGAGGCTCAACATTAAAGGGAATATTTGAATTGCTATTAAATATCATCAAAGAAGCCTTGGGAACTGAGATGTAAATGAGAACGCCATGGTAAAGTGCCTGGCAGATAGTAATAATAGTTAACACTCACTGCACTTTACTGCTGCAGTACCAGCTGCTGTCTATAATAAGTGCCTTACACATAACCTCATTTAATCCTCACACAACCATGAGGGATTTACTATTTACTCACGTATTGCAGCTAGGCACTGGGTGACACAGAGGTTAAATACAGCATTGCCCAATACAATGCAGACAGAAAGTCTTAGTGGGGATCGGAACTCAGGCGTCAGCAACCTCACGTGTACGTCCAGCCACGTCCTGCCCAACAGCCCCCCCACACTGCTCCCCAGCCCAAGTGTGTGCTGACATTTAGGGTCCTCAACACTTACACGCTGGCACATAGAAATTGCTTTTTTGGAAAAAGATTATTTATGCATACAAGATCTGGGTACAGGCCAGAGATGTGGGGGTGAGAGGATTCCCCAGAGACAGTGGGGAGCAGGACAGGCAGGCAGATCTACTAAAATTCACTAAGGGGAGCAGCAGGCAAGACAGGAGAGGGGTTCTGCACCATGTGGGTCACTGCCTGGCCTTGATCAAACTCAGGTGACGGTGCCGAGACTTCCCCCCTGGGCCACTAGGGAGGCCCGGGATTCGTTTTCCTGTGCACGGGCCTCCCTGGTGGCTTAGGGGTGAATTCTCAGTGTTATCACCATTAAGGCTTGAACTGGACCTCCAGCCAGGGAGTGACCCACAGGGCTCAGCACAGCTCTTATCTCCCCGCTGTTTCAGCAGTGGATTTCAATGTCTGTTCTGTTCCCCACTGTCTCTGGGCAGTCCTCCCTCCCCCCATTCTATTATAGACCCTCGTTCTACTAAAAAAAAAAAAAAAAAAAAAAAAAGTATGACGGGGCCCTTCCTGGTAGTGCAGCACGTGAAGCCAGGTGCTGCAGCTTCCGCATGAGTTCAACCCCCCACAGGGGGTGGAAATGGGGGCTGGGAAAGGGGGTGTGGCCCACATGGGGTGGCAAACCTTTCATCTCACCCCTCAGCAGTATACATCAATCTGTCTGTTCTGCTCCCCACTGTCTCAGGTGAATCCTCTCACCGCCCCTGCACCCGTTCTATATGCATAAATAAATCCTTCAAAAAGTGCGATGAACAATGAGTAATTTCCTCATATATGCTAAATTATGAAGAGGTGGGGAAAACTCAGAATTTTGGGTTGAGGAAAAGGGTCATCAAGGACCTCAGTGAATCCTGCCTACTTGAAATTGAGCAACTCCACAGGTGGACACGAGCAGTGGCTGGAAGTCTAGAGGATTCCATCTGGTTTGAATGCTCGAGTTTGGGGAACACATCAGAATTAGGAGGAGGTGCCGAGAAGGTAAAACTGTTCCCCCAATGTCTGCTAAAATGGACAGGTGTGTGTGTGGGGGGGAACAAAGGTTCGAGGGTTCTCATTACCTTCAGTGTGACCAACTGCTAGAATTCTAGTCCACTGTAGCTGGAGTACAGCCAGCTGCACCTTGCTGTCCAAACATTTGGAGTGTGAAGCCCTCTGGTGGCCACCTGAGCCTAGCAAGGCTATTTCAGAGGTGCTGATGGGTACCCGCACTGCAGGTAACCTTCCCAGGGCTGGAAGGGCAGGTGGGCTCCCCATCAGTGGTCAGTGGGGTTTGATTAGCTCATAGGCTGGGCCTCAAGCACATGGGATGCCTTTATTTCTGGCACTCCAAAATAGGGTCTTCCAGAAAACTGCCGTCAGCACCTGGAGACGCATGCCTGCATTCACACAGCACAAGAACTCGAGGAAAAGGCAGTTAAGAACCAACCTGGGAAAAGGACAGGCTGTGCTTACATTTTTATTTATGCATACAAGAACTAAGGTACAGCCCATGTTTGGGGGTCAGGATTCATCAAAGCAAGAGTGGGGAGCAGAGCAGACAGATGCACCGAAATCCCTGCTGAGGGCAGCACTGGGGGAGGGAGGAGCGGTCTGCTGCGCCGAGGGTCACTCCCTGGCCAGAAAGAATTGAGATAGCTTCAAATTAACGTATTTTGTAAAACCCGTTTCAAAGTATATTCCCAAACATGTTTCCAATGTATTATTCCTTAATTTTTAGTTATAGGATAAATGAAACATGATCAGTCAGGCATAGCGTTTCCCAAACCTTGTATGGAATTTCTACTTGCAGCCGCTTCACGTTTTTTGCCGACAAGACATTTACGAGGAAAAGGGGCAGGCGAGGCCTGGTTTACTGATACTGCATGTCTGAGACAGAACTTGATGAGTTACAGACGTGCCAGGCTCGCGCCTCCCTCTGCACTCACTATGCGACAGCCCGGATGGGCTCCCCACTCAATGCTCAACTTCCCCTTAGCCTCCTGGGTCTTCCCCCCTATTTTTAGGACAAAGTTATCACCGGCCAGGTTGAACTAACCTAATGGAGATGCCTTAACCACTTTTGTTCCAGTTATGCAAACCTGGGAGGCCACAGAAACAAACAGAAAAGAAACTCCACCAGGACTTGACTCGTCCTCCTTGAAAACAGCACACGGTCCTCCACACCCACACTCGGTATAAAGTGGTCAGTCCCTACCACAGGCAAAACCCGCGCTCAAACCAGCAACAGATACACGCAAACGGGCCACATCATGTATAAATTGCATTTATTCCCCGACTTGTTCTTCAGTCTTTACATGGGCTTTTCTGTTGCTTCTTTACATGGGCTTTGGAGGTGGTCGTGGGGCAGCACCCTGAAATGCAAAGGAATGAAAGGATTAAAAGCCACCGCGAGCGTCACCCTTCCCTAAGGTCTTTACCACCACACTTGCGTTAACTAACATCACTATCGCAGGGGGAGACCACACTCCTCCCTCTGAAACATTCTAACCATTCCCCCCCTTAAAATCTTTCTCTAAGTAACTGTTTTGAGTGTGGGCCCTTACTGTACCTCATCCCTGGAACCCTAACATTCCCTACTTGGCCCCTCGCAACTTTTGTCCATCAACCCACTGTCTGTACCTCTCCTGGACACTTACCGCAGGTCTAAATCGGGGTGGGGGTGTTCTATCCTTCCGAGCCTCACGAGAACGATTCCTGACCACCTTGCTGTGAATGGCACAGCTCACGCAGTAATGCAGTTTCACGTACAGCTTGGGAAGCACATAGGCTAAAAGACAAAGCAGAAAGACATCGCACGCCCGGCCTGCGCTGCTCTTTCCTATGCACCCCACAGTCAAAACTAAGCCCACCTATGCCAGGCAGTCACTGAACCTCGCGCCAACGGCTCAGTTCTGGTGTGTGGGCACAGCACAGCCATCAGTTTTACCAGTGAGCCCCACTTGCCCTTGCGTAGGACCCAAATAACAAGCCAATAACCCAGTTCCCCAAGCAGTTACTCCTGGGCCCCCAGCTGCCCAAGAAAGTCAATCTGCCGTAAAAACAAGGACCAAACACATCACGCCTCAAAGGTCACCCCTGCGAACCAAACCCGACTGCTTCCACTCTTGAAACAGTCAAAGAACCAAATCAGCACATCTTCACACCACACGCAGCAGGTTGGCAGTAACTCAGTAATCATAAGTAAATTCTCCCCTGGAAGAGCTTCAGTCAAGACTAAAGATAACGGCGGGAGGGGAGCTCCATCAAGCGGTGACCAAAACGGGGCAACAAACGAGGGCAAGACCATCAAACGGCAGCTGGCTGCTGCCTGCCATCTGGGACACCCGACAGAGTGACTGTCCGTCACACATGCAAACCGATGTTTTACAACAGGGACACCTTAAACCTTCAGCTGCCATGACTCCGGGGCTGGGCCTCCCTCGTCCTGTCTCGATGCGGCGGTCGGCTGAACCTACTCAGAGCGGGCAGGTTTGGGGCTCCAGGGGCGGCCCTCTCCTTGCCCACACCCGTCCTCGGCGCAGTGACCATCACACCGGCGGCACCTTGGGGTGGCGGCCGCCCTCCACACTCCCCGCGCCCGGGGGGCCCGCTCACCATCGAACACGCTCGCTTCCGATATGTCCCTGACGGCTGCGGCCTCCACGATGTTGCGAATGACGAACTTCTTAATGGCCTTGTCCTTGGGCACGCAGCGGGCGCAGTTGGTGCAGCGAATAGGCTGCACGTGGCCGCGGCCCTTCTTGGCACGACCGTTATTCCTTCTTTTCTTGGTCTGCGCGAGATTAAAGCCCGTTAGGCAGGGAGCGCCATGCACCCGGCCTCGGCGCCCCTCGCGGCGACACCCCGA